GAATTGTAGGAGGCAATATCGTATATATATATATACCAATGGATTTGTAATAAAATTCTCTACACTTTTTGTCATTATACAAATTTGAATAAATTGTAAAATAAGGTTATGAAAAATTTTGTTGTTATAAACAAATTGTATTTTGCAAAATTTGTTAACATCCTGTTATTATACGCAAGAAACCATACAACTTTTCTATTAGAAGTTTTAATGTATCTCGTATGGTTGTCGAGATAGCCAAAAGGGCTCGAAACTTTAAGGGCTCGTTTCACCCCTTAGACCCGCGTCACAGCCGATAAAAAAAAATTCGTGTCCCTTATTTTTGCCTGTTTAACAAACCTACGAAGTTTCATCAAAATCGGAGGGGGACACTTGCGTGCCTTTCCTTGTAAGTAAATTTCTACAAAATCCTTGAACTCCAGCTTTTTGATAAGGGTGTACCGGTCTTCGTCCCTTTGGTACTCAACAACGTCGATTGTTTATGAATCCTGGGAATTATTCTATATGAACATTTTTTATCAGATCTATCAAGATCCGAAGAGAATGCTAAGCAAGGTCTATCAAGATCTTCGGAAAAAAATGTTGTTCTGTAAATACTAAAGCTTATACGTCTCAAATTATTTAAAAAAATCAAATCGTAATATAACCGTCGGTCCCCGTTTTTAACCGACTTCGAAAAAGGAGGAGGTTACTGAATTCGATCAGTATATTTTTTTTTTTCTACATATGTTCGCCGATTACGCCTAACTGGGTGGACCGATCGGAACAGATGGACCAATCGGAACGAAACCTTTTGCATCTGGTAGGTTCTGACTCCCCATTGGTACCATTATCAAAAAATTTTTCATTTTTTCATTGCAAAGTATTGTTATTGCAAAAAAACCGGCAACTTTTGAAATAAACTTTTCTTGATTTTAGTGCGCTTTTAATATCTTATCACGGACATGATTCTGAACAATTTTGGTCATATACAAATTTCACGAAAACCTTTTGTTTTCGAGATATTAGCGAAAAATTGTTATTAACTTTTAAAATCAACTTCGAACGATTTTAATGTCCTTCGAATATCTTGGTAGGGGCGTGGTTCTGGACAACTTTTTCCTCTCGCATAATTGACGGAAAGCTTTTGTTTTCGAGATATTAGCGAAAATTGTTGTTAACTTTTGAAACCAACTTCGAACGATTTTATTTTATATTTTTTAGTGCATTTCGAAGTCGGTGTATTTTTTTTCTGAAAATTATTTTATCGATGACTAAATACGGTAAGTATCAAATACATTTGAATATAGATAATTTGTGCAGTTTTACTGAGAATGCTGGGATTGCTTATGATATTGTACTTGTAACAAAGTCTCTTGGCAACTTGAAGGATGTTCTAAATGCTAATGATTTTACTATGTTAAATTTTATTATTGTTTATTATTACTGCTTATTTGTTTTTATTGTTTATTACGAATTTAGTGCATGTGTGGCTGATAATTCTTTTGATTAATAACTTTTGTATTTTGTTATAATTTATACGTATATTTATTTTGACCCTCGAACACAAAGTATTCAATGTTACGCTACGATGTAATTTGAATGATGCATGGTATGATTCATTTGGTTCAAGGACATATTTGACAACTTTATTTAGATATACCCTTTGGGAATATGGTACCACATAGAGCTACAGAAAAACTCTACAGTGTACTCTACACATGTAAATAATTTGCAACAACCATGTAGAAGTAATATTAATCTATAATGATTTTTTTATTTATCCAAACATTTTCAGTTGCTTATATGTAAAATTAAAAATGGAAGATGTTATTCTTTATATAGAAAAATTCAAGCAACTTGACATCATCTTCCTTACTGCTTAGTCTGCAAAAAAACAAATCAATAAAATTAAGTCGTTGATTCATGTACTAAGCATTTTAATATAACATTTATTTAAAAATTACTTACTTGCAAGGAAGAGTTTAAGTCAACTATCGGAGTACCATGCGGTATAATCGTAATTTCATGAATCTGAAACCATTGCGACGATCATTAAAGGTATAAGTATTATGTTATCTAGAAAGCCATTGTTGTAAAAATTATTATCAAATTCAAAGTTGTGAATGTTTAGCGATACTAATATTATTAATAGTTATATAAATATTATTAATATTGTTTATTGGACCACGCAAGCAATAAACAGTAGACTCTGATTATAATACCACCGACGATACAGTAGAAGAATAAAATGTATGGAGTTGATAATCATGTTGGGAACAAATTCTGTTGTTTGATATTATAATGGTTTTGAAGATGGTAGCGTGCATGGTAACGGCGAAACGCCACTAATATATGTGACAATCTTTGCAATGATGTCAATATAACGAAAGTTCTCTGCAAAATTTCAATTTTTTTACACAAATCGCGTTTTTAATAAAAAAAACAGTTTATAATGTTTTGAAAAACCGGAGAGAATATTATCACACAAAATTTTGATCTTGCAAATATTCACAAATTCTGTTATATCCTTTTTGAACTATATGTAACTAATAAAATTGTACTTTCACCTACCTCTACCCTTTCTGGTGTTCCTATCGCATAAATTGCAGAATCTGCGATATCTTCTGGTTCCAAAGTTCGCACATCTAAATTTGCGATAAAATCTTGTACCATCTCTGTTCGAACCAAACCGGGACTAATACTCTATAAAAATATAAACATTCAGTAATGTCTCAAAGTTTGATTACCGTTCATGACGATGTACGCATTTCAATTGTCACATGTAATCGAAAGATCGAATGATGCATTCGTTATGACTCTGACTCAAATGATGACTTGACAGAAGCTGCGCAACGTGTACATTTGTTTGTTTCTCTTCTACGATCCTTGTGGATCGTGTGAATGTTGAATTATTAACAGCAAGTAGTACTTACGGTAACTTTGACATTTAAATTAGCTGCAATGATTTCGTGACGAAGTTCTGAACACAAAGCGGTCACAGCGTATTTACTAGCAGCATACATTCCGACCGGTACATGTATAGCCTCAGCAAAATGACCGGCAATACTATAAAAATTATAGAATTGACCAATTAGTTCATCCTTATTTCAGAGGTTCGTATAAAATGTGTTACTATAAAGCGAATATAAAAAATATTATCGTTAATTATTTACCTGTTGATATTGACTATGTGGCCACACGTGTTTCTCTTTTTTATGGATTGTAGAAATTCTCGGGCGCAAATCGTAGGTGCGATGACGTTCGTCTCTATTGTTTTATAATATTCCGCAGTAGGTGTATCTACAACACAATATTTATAGTTGATTCAACTACTGAACTTTATTGAGATTAAATCATTTTTAGGGAAGAGACTGTTCAGATAAAATTTGTATACTATTTGTACACTAGCAAACAAACAAAATACTTTCCAATGTAAGGTTGCTTTTACAATAAGATGGATTGGTAAGAGTGTTGTATGAATGAGATTGATAAGAGCGTTGAGTTAGTGAAGTTGATACGGTTGAGATGTTTTTTCGGTTTGTGTGAATATGAAAAACAAAAAAGAATCGAGGATTGCTTGGACAAAGAGTAGGGATGTAACAAGAGGCGACACTAGACAAAGAAAACTCACTTCCTACCACAGAATAAACCAGAAGCGACATTCTCTGCCCACACCTTTGATCTCTCAAAAACGCTGTCTCTTTAAATTGGTTGTACAAATGAGCAGGAAATTTAAATCGAGCAAATCTACTCTCATGTCAATCTCCAATAATTTTAAATATATTTGTAATAAATTTTCTCAATATTGTCTTTCGAGATATTTTTATCAACTAGGGCCCCCTGTTCGCTTTACAACCCAATCCTCCCAAAGCGGGAAGTGCCTATTTCGTATAAATACGCTTTTAAAGTGACATAATGGGTCGACCTTGGACTTTGGAGTGGAGATGGTAACGTCAAGCGTGACAGCGTTACGTGTGACACTGTTACGGTATGATTTTATGCTACAGAAGAGTATGATTTTTAACCGACTTCGAAAAAGGAGGAGGTTACTCAATTCGATTAGTATATATATTTTTTTTTTTAAATTACGCCGGTTACGCTTAGCTGGATAGACCGATCGGAACGAAACCTTTTGCATCTGGTAGGTTCTGACTCCCCATTGGTACCATTATCAAAAAATTTTTCATTTTTTAATTGCAGTGTTGTTATTGCAAAACAACCGGCAACTTTTGAAATAAACTTTCCTCGATTTTAGTGCGCTTTTAATATCTTATCACGGACATGATTCTGAACAATTTTGTTCATATACAAATTTTGCGGAAAGCTTTTGTTTTCGAGATATTAGCGAAAAATTGTTGAAAAGTTTTGAAATCAACTTTGGACGATTTTAATGTCCTTTTAATATGTTGTCAGGTGCATAATTCTGGACAACTTTTTCCTTATCCGCAATGAAGGGGTGTTCTGGGGTTATGTAAAATAAAACACACTTGTACAGTTAATCAGATTGATAGCTATATTTATCAGTGGAAAAATATACGATGAAAAAACCTATGTTAGAATTCGGTGTATACAAGACGGACGCATGGTTAGAACTAAAACTAAAAAGAAACTACAACGACAGTACATGTCTGTACCTGGAGTGCTTGCAGGCCCCCAGACCCTAATTAGACAATGACTTCCAAGGATGTAGGGTTTTCTAAAAACGGTTAAAGCATGGTCAAGGCTTTAGCTTCAACATTCCCCCTAAAACTCTACATCCTTATTTTCCAGAACAAGACAAAAAACAAGAAATTTACTCGGTTATTTCTCTCTTATTTATGAGACCTAATTTCTTACTTAAATATATAAACCTTGGTTTTGCTAATGCTTTCGTAAATATGTCGGCAACTTGTTCCTTACTTTCAATATATGTAACATCAATCTCGCCTCTTTCATATAGGTCACGAACAAAATGATATTTAATGTCTATATGCTTGCTTCTCTGATGAAATTCAGGATTCTTAAGCAATTTCAAAGCACTCATATTATCTACATGCAACACACAGTTAACACCCATTTTACAGTCCTTAAACAATTTTTTCAACCATACAATTTCTTTTGCCGCTGACGCTGCGCTTACATATTCGGCCTCAGTCGTCGGTAACGATACGCATTGTTGTCGCTTACTTTGCCACACAATCGATGCATTCGCAAAATTACAAGTCAAACCAGATGTTGATTTTCGGCTTTCCTTGTCCCCCCCAAAATCAACATCACTATAGACCTCGAAATTACCATTCTTACTATAAAATAAACCTATGTCTATCGTACCTTTCAAATATCTAATTATCCGTTTCACGAGTAACCAATGCGCCTTAGTTGGTTTATCTAAAACTCTCGATGCTATATTCACTGCAAAACTTATATCCGGTCCGCTTACTGTCTGTAAAAACATTAAACTATCCACAACTTCGCGGTACGGTACACCATGACAACTATCTTTAATAAAATCGCTCGCATCCCAACCGACCTCTATTGGTGTTGATACATAATTCGCATCTGTGAAATTAAATTTTTCGATTATACCCTCAATATATTTACTTTGACTAATAAAAATTGAACCGTTTCTCAGTCTGAAAATTTCTATTCCAAGATAATTACTAACATCTTTTGTGGTCGTTATTTTAAAATTCTTACCTAATTCAAGAAAAAATGTATCTATTAAACCCTCGTCTGACGCTGCTATAAGCCCATCATCAACATAAACAGCTAGAAACATTTTACCATCATTTTCATCATAGCTATAAAAACAAGAATCGGCTGAACTTTTACTAAACCCAAATTTTCTAATAAAATGTTCAGTCCAGCATCGCGGAGCTTGTTTCAACCCATACAAACTTTTCAACAACTTACAAACATTCGCTGTTCCGCCACTGAACCCTTCGGGTTGTTTCATGTATATATCCTCGTCTATTGGCCAGGCTGACGTGCCGGGCCTGGGCGAGGTGAACGGTTGGCGGCTTCGTGTCGCGTCCCGGAATCCGACCACAGGACTCGGGAGGCTGGTGTCTCAAAGCCAGTCTCAGGGAAGCCGGGGGCCTAGAGAAAAATTCCTGACAGCAGGCAATGGAGTCAGGTGATGTCTTTGGAACCCGCAGATTGGACTGGGCTCCGACTCTTGTGCGGTGGTGGGTCTAAGACTTGAACACCTGCCGATATAAGCGAAAGCTCAGGAGCGGCGGAGCGGCAAAAGGCCATGAATGCTCAACTAGACAATATATCCTCGTCTAAATTTCCATACAGAAACGCGGTCTTTATGTTAAACTGACCCAAAAACAAACCATTATTCGCAGCGATACTTAACAAAAATCTTACAGTATCATAACGGGCTACCGGACTAAATGTTTCTTTATAATCAACTCCTGGTACCTGCGAACACCCTTTTATGACTAATCGCGCTTTAAAACGTTCTGTATCATCAGGATTCTTTTTCTTTGTATAAGCCCAGCGGTTATTAATAACTTTACGATTTTCAAGTTTTTCGACTAACAACCATGTTTGATTTTCGCGTAAGGCATTCATCTCTTCCTCCATAGCATTAATCCAAAAATCTCTCTCATTACAATTAATCGCTTCGTTATAATCGGAAGGTAATTTTTCGGTATGAAAAGTAATCGGACAACCGTAAAATTCCGTACGTTTAATCGTTCGTCTATCGCGGAGCTGTTTTACGTTGCTATTGTCGACTGAAGATTGCAAAGGTTGCATTTGATCTCTACTATTACTGATTTCAAGATTAACTTCAGTATTTTCAGAACTACCCGTACCTACATCAATAACTACATTATCTTCAATTTTATCGCCTTTTTGAATTGTACCTAATTCAATGTTATTAGCAGCTAGCCTTTCCGGTTTAAATAATACGTCGCGACTCAAAACTACATCTCGTAAACTCGGCACATAAACACGATACCCCTTACAATTTTCAATGCATCCTACTAAGTACCCTTTTACAGCTTTTCTGTCGAGCTTTTTCCTTTTTTCGTACGGTACATGAACAAAACATTCTGTCCCGAAAATTTTAAAATTATCTATGTTCGCCTCTTTATTGTACCATAGCCCATAAGGGGTCTGACCTGGCTGTTTTGACGGTCCTGACCTGTTAATGACGTACGCAGCTGTATTCGTCGCTTCAGCCCATAAGGACAAAGGTAAAAAGGACTTCGAATATAACATTGACCGCGCGGCTTCAACAATAATTCGGTTTTCCCGTTCTGCGACACCATTCTGTTCGGGTGTGTACGGAACACTAAAACTATGTTTAATACCCTTACCAGATAAATAACGCTCAACTTCCCTATTTTTAAATTCCTTTCCGCCGTCACTATGAATTTCCTTTATGTTTTCCCCGAACAAATTCTCAACCTCATTACAAAATATTTGTATTTTATCTATTACTTCGGACTTTTGTCGCATAAAATAAATTTGTCGAAACCCGGAATAATCGTCTTTGAAAATTACAAAATATCGTTTTCTACTAATTGATTCATGCTCCATCGGCCCACGTACGTCAGTATGTATAATTTCGCAACATTTCGTAGCACGATCGCTTCTTTCATGAAAACTCGACCTATGATGTTTTCCATAGGCACACCCTTCGCAAACAACACTATCATCTATTACTTGAATTTCCCTACTTTTCAAAAATTGTTTCACATGTCTAAAATTCTGATGACATAGTCTCTCGTGCCATAACTGTAAACTATTTGCATTTACCGCTAAATTACATTCTTTCGGTGTTACCACGCGCAAATTTACTTTAAATAGGTCACCCCAAATCGAGCCAGTCGCTATAACTATTCCGTCGCGTGAAAAAACACATTTCTCTCCATAATCGGTAATCGCGTGATCAATACCTTTCCTTGCAATTGTTATAATCGAAAACAGATTCTGACTTAATTTCGGTACAAATAAAACGTTATACATAACACCCGAAATCCATTTTCCATCTACATGCGTTTCAATCTCTATGTTACCTTTTCCATACGCAGGAGTAAGCTCACCATTGCCTAATCGAATTGTAATCGGCTCTTCAAATTCTTCAAAAACGCTGAAGAAGTCCCGTCGATGCGTCATATGATCGGTAGCTCCCGAATCAATCAGCCGGACGTCATTGTTGATAAATTCTTTACTGCTTCCTACAAAAGCCTGCTTCTGGGTTGAAGTTGCTGTCTGCTGTACAGTATAGACGCCACCGTTGTTTCTCGTGCGGAAATTCCCACTCTTCTTGTAACAGTTCCTGCTGAGATGTCCTTTTAAACCACACACATGGCAACCAACACAATCTTTCCGTATGTGGTCTGTTTTGCCACACGTGTAACACCCAGTGTAAACTTTCTTCCGACGCTCATCTTGACTTGGTTTGTTGTGAAAATTATTCTTCGAAAACGATGTATTTGACGACCTTCGTTTCATTAATAACGCCACAGCCATATTCTCAGAGCTCAGCCATATCCTCAGAGCTATCCTGTTCTTGAGTTCTAACTTCCTCACTCATCAAACGCGCCGTTAAATTATCGAGAGTTTTCTTCTTGTCTTCCACGGAATCCCACGCACTGTGAAAGTGATTAAACTTTTTTGGTAATATTGACAATATACGTGTCAATATCATGGATTCCGGAAGTGCACCACCGAGGTTCTTCATTTTGGTCGTCAGCTGCTCAACTTTCGCTAAATTATGGCTCACACTTTCATCTGAGTCTCATTTAAAATCAAAAAACTGTTTTTACACTATCGATAAATTTTCGTCGGACTTCATGTCATATACTGCATTAAGTTTCCTCCACATTTCGCGCGCGGTTGTGCAACTCAGGAGTAAATCCAGGGGTTTCCTTTCGACAGACGTCACGATCAACCTGCGAGCTGTTTTATCAGCTTTTAAAAACTTTTGTAGGTTGACTTGATAGTTTGCTGAATTTTCAGCAGGACGCTCGAATTTTCCTTCACACACTGCAAGCATATCGTCATCTTCTTCTAGTAACGTACGAATGACGAAACGCCATTGCAGCCAATTTTCATTGTCACGGAGCTTTTCAATTTTTAAACTCATCGACTCCATTTTTAAGAAAGTTTGTTACACAACTCACTGCACTTTTCAAAAAACGAACTATTTCACTGATAACTTTTAAGAAAAATCTGAGCCCATAACCTGTTCTGGGGTTATGTAAAATAAAACACACTTGTACAGTTAATCAGATTGATAGCTATATTTATCAGTGGAAAAATATAGGATGAAAGAACCTATGTTAGAATTCGGTATATACAAGACGGACGCACGGTTAGAACTCAAACTAAAAAGAAACTGCAACGACAGTACATGCCTGTACCTGGAGTGCTTGCAGGCCCCCAGACCCTAATTAGACAATGACTTCCAAGGATGTAGGGTTTTCTAAAAACGGTTAAAGCATGGTCAAGGCTTTAGCTTCAACAAGGGGAAGCTTTAATTTTCGAGTTATTAGCGAAAAACTATTGTTACTAATACAGTATTCACCCCGTAAATGTTACTTTTGCCGGTTTCGATTGTAACATTTACGGTAGAGGTCCTACATTCTTTGTAATGTGCCGAACGTAGAAAGAGACAGCCATACAAAAGACAAAGAGGGATAGAGTTTCGAGCGTTCGGCAAACATGAAAGACTCGTGCGTGTTCTGTCTTTTAAATTTAAAAATTACAATTCTTTATTTTTAGTTTTTTGTCAATGGAACTTTTACCATCGTATTTGTCTCGTTTTTCTGATTAAAATGACACCAAACACGATATGATTACGATCGTAATTACTTATGTAACAAGCCATGAAAGTTTGGGATGTAACATTTACGGTAGAGGTGCGAATTGCTCCTAAAGGCTTGCTATACAAGTAATTATGATTTTAATTATACCGTGTTT